AGGGTAGCTGCCTCACCTGTGAAGCTATTTACTCTACTACACGCGCAGCCTGGGCTGGGGGAGGAGGGTTAGAGCTAAAGGTAAGGGTAGCTGCTTCACCTGTGAAGCTATTTACTCTACCACACGCGCAGTCTGTAATGGTGGAGGAGGGTTAGAGCTAGAGGTAAGGGTAGCTGCCTCACCTGTGAAGCTATTTACTCTACCACACGCGCAGTCTGTGATGGTGGAGGAGGGTTAGAGCTAGAGGTAAGGGTAGCTGCCTCACCTGTGAAGCTATTTACTCTACCACACGCGCAGTCTGTGATGGTGGAGGAGGGTTAGAGCTAAAGGTAAGGGTAGCTGCTTCACCTGTGAAGCTATTTACTCTACCACACGCGCAGCCTGTGATGGGGGAGGAGGGTTAGAGCTGGAGGTAAGGGTAGCTGCCTTACCTGTGAAGCTATTTACTCTACCACACGCGCAGCCTGTGATGGTAGAGGAGGGTTAGAGCTAGAGGTAAGGGTAGCTGCCTCATCTGTGAATCTATTCCACGCGTGGCCTGTAATAGTGGGTGGCGGGCTGCAGGCTCAAAGTGTTCTTATCAAGATAGAAATTAGTTGTACCCGTGTAGCCATTCTCTCTACTACACGTTATCTGTGGCAGAGAGAAGGACTATGTGGGCAGAGCTACATGTCAGTCCTGCATGTGCTGCCATTCACACAACTATATGCTGCGAGTGATGGAGTGAAAGGTTATATGGTTAGAGCTGGTGGTTAGATGTATCTGTATAGCCATGCACTCCGCCACACATAATAATATTGCCTTCAGCTACAAGTACATATAACAGGGTGCGAAATTAACGGGAGTCCGGAGTCAAATACTCCCTGATTTACTGTCGGACTTCCTGATTTTATATATGCAGGAGTCCGTGTGACCCTGAAAATTCTGTCATAATAACTAGTTCGTTCCGGAGCACGACCTTGCGGAATTACTGTATTTGTTCAGCTAATGTCCAAACAAAATTTGGCAGACGTGCAACTGCATGAATCTTAAAAATAAGCACATGCGTTATTGTTAATATCTTTAATTTTGAACCTAAGACTGCAGACTCCCTCATTTTGCTGCGGACTCCTCTTCTTGAGGGTAGGGAGTCCGTTGGACTCCCTTGTTCAAAAGTTAATTTCGACCCCTGCATATAGTACAGTTACATGTAACGTTGTTCCCGCTGCGATGCAATAAACATTCCGCTAAAGAAATCCCAAGAATGCTGGAGAATATTAAACATATTAGCATATTAAGGTATAAGCCTATCTGACATTACTTACGACACGGTAAGCCACCTATCGGCTAGATGAGTTCTTGGGCGTTTGACGCGGGAGAATGAAGATGTGGATCTAACAGCACCGCCTGTCGTGATTTGTAAAAATCAAATAAAGACGGAGGTAAAATGAAAATCCACAAAGAATTCTGAAGTTAGATCAAAGATTGCTAGGCACGCAGCAATGGTACGATCCACGATACACATCTTTAACGAGTGTATGCATGTAATAATGAGCCTTGTTTAACGAGTGCTTGTTAATGAAACTAAAAAATCCCCCCAAATAAGAATCTTATATAACATATAAAAGAAAAAAAATATTATTAAAAAAATATGAAAAAAATATGAAAAAGGTAAAAAATATAAAAATATATAAAAGATGGACACCGTACATTTCAGGCCAGGACGCGGTCCTCTCTCCTGTGCGCCCTATACGAAGAGCTGCTGCAGAAGACGGAGAGAATGTTCTCGGAGCGGACGCCGCCACCTATCGAGAAATCGGAGAACTATTCGTTCTTCGATTCGCTGCGAAAGGTCGTGTCGGGATCTCACAAGACTCGCCTGACTTCGACGGAGTTCGTGCCTTATCAAAGACAGAGCAAGAAATCTGAGAGACCAGCAGAGCAGCAGCAGTCGCAAAGCGCAGCATCAAAGATGGAGAAAACGGCAAGTGCTTTTATAGTTTGGTTGCAAGAGACACGCGGACATCACACGTACAGATTCCTTTGATAAGATTTCAGATTAAAATCTCGCGCGCTCTTTCTCTCTCTCTCTCTCTCTCTCTCTCTCTCTCTCTCGCTTGCGCTCTCTCTCTCTCGCTCTCTCCCTCACCCCCTTCTCTCTATCGCTCGCTTGCGCACGCTCTCTCTCTCGCTCTCCCCCCATCTCTCTCTCTCTCTTTCGCTCCCTCTATCTTTATTTCTCAACGTGTCTCTAAATTAGAAGCAATTGCTTTCCTGAATACACTACGGCTCGTGCGGATACGCTCAGTGCGCACTATATGCAATATTGCAATATGTTGTCGTGAGATAATAGCCTGCTGCGAGTAATGCCTCCGAAATTAGATCGCGTTGTCGCCTTCATTAGCAACATGCCCATTAGAGGAATGGTCGTCTGCAATAACCAATGATTAACGGGCTAACGGACGAACGCTAGTCACGTGCCAACGTTTACGACTAATTTGTTGAAAATCCGGCAGGAATTTTCTGGGGGAGGAGGGCAAGGGGGTAGTTACGGTCCGGCCGTGATTCGATGCGTGGGTGTGCGTGGGTGTGTGGGGTGGAGGGGGGCGCCATATTACGTTTTTCTCACAGGTGCCAGACACGTACCCGCCTTAACATTTATCGCAACGTCGGCACAGAGAACATTAATTACATATCTATCTCTTTCTATCTCATTCTCTCTCTCTGTCCTGTCTCTCTCCCTCTCTCTCTCTCTCTCTCTCTCTCTCTCTCTCTCTCTCTCCCTCTCTCTCTCTTTCTATCTCATTCTCTCTCTTTCTCTTTCTCTCTGTCCTGTCTCT